CTGAATGGTAGAACCAAAAAAAAAAAATCCAGACCATCTCATCACTCTCATTCAAGTTTCTCGTTCAAGTTTCCCCAATAGCCTCAAAAGCAGAAAAAAATAAAAACCACTCAATCCATGCAGTAGTACTGGTCACACGGTGCTCACAAACAAAGGGCAGTTCAGGCAGTTCCTTGGGCAATGCTGAATCTGACTGCTTGCCCAATCCATTAACATCATGCACATCATCCAGACCATCTCATCACTCTCATTCAAGTTTCTCGTTCAAGTTTCCCCAATAGCCTCAAAAGCAGAAAAAAATAAAAACCACTCAATCCATGCAGTAGTACTGGTCACACGGTGCTCACAAACAAAGGGCAGTTCAGGCAGTTCCTTGGGCAATGCTGAATCTGACTGCTTGCCCAATCCATTAACATCATGCACATCATCTAAAGCCATGGGGATGACAGGCAGCTGCTCATTGGGCTCACGGGACTCCGTTTCCATCTCCACATTCGGCAAGCTAGAGCTGAGACCACCCATTGTAGCGAATAATCCTTGCTGTAAGTGACAGCCAGCAAGCAGACCATCGATATTACCCCACTTCTTGGTGGTCACATTGCCATGAAGTGATGTGCTGCTCTCTGTTCTTCCCCACACTGGGCTGGTGGATTGATGATAAGAGTAACCCTCCATGTCATCCAGAAGCATCCTAACAGAAGATAGAAGGAAGTGTCAGGCCGCCCTGTATTAGCAGGCAGAAGTCTAGGGGATAAAGCCTTTTCTTCTACCAGTATACAGTATGTGACTGCAGCCTAAGGCTTGGTATACTCCTAAACCACAAAATGAAAGCTTAAGTCACCAGAAATCCCCTGAGGGAGAAAGAGGGGAAGGAAGTGCAAGGATGGGGGAAGAGGTCACCGTTTGCAGTGGGCTACCAAACAGCTGAAGCACAGCCCGTGATTTCATCCCCCCTCCCCAGTGGAGGACAGTCATGCCCACAGGAGGCCTGGCATAAAGGGGTGTTGTTTTAGTATTTTCTCCCACCTATATAAAGCCTATGTATGCCACTGAATAAAAATCGCAAATATCTAGCCTTTGACACACTTCTTACTCTCAGTTACAATTGGATACTTTGGAATAATTCTGGGTAGCATATTAGTCAATGGGGAAACTTTACAGCTAAGGTGCTAATCCAATATTGGTAAGCCTATTTCATTCAGGCCCTAAGTACCTCTGCCATGGGGCAGAGAGCATCTTACTCTGTCCCTTGTGCAATACTGTAATTGCTAGCAACTCCAGTCCTCCTAAAGGAGGTCTGTGGGGAAATTTTGCAACTCATCCAGTTACAAGCAACACCTCAGATAACTAGCTGGGTCTTAAGTGAAAAATCCAGGCACTCAGATAGCCTTACTTACATCTAAGGGAGCTGTTTCCAGCCCTTTCTGGGCTCACAACTCTACCCTTTTCTGATTAGCCCCACAGAAATTCAGTCATCACACTTATTAGAGCTGGAACCCACTTGGGAGTCCCTTGATTTGGGAGACCCCAGAATGAAAACCAAAGGTTTAAATGCATTTGATGCTGAAAATGTAATTATAGAGGGATGGCTCTATACCTTAGCAAAGTACTCACCATTTCCAAAACTAGAAAACAAAGATCACCAAGCCCTGATAGAAAGCCTGAAGCAAGCTTCTTGATTACCATTATTCTTTCTCCTAGCCTAAACTCAAATGAGTGTCCACAGGCAGACCCAGGATTTGGCAAAGGGGAGTGTGGAAGTAACCACCCACACTGCAAAGGTGGCTGCTTTCCTTGCTCCCAGCCTCCCCTCCCACCGGGTATACAGGCAGACTGCACCACTGGAGCCTCTGGGGATTTGTTTGAAGTCCCCAAAGCACATAAGAATCCCCTCTCCCTTCTCCCCAGTGCTCAAAGGCATGTCCCCTCCCTGCCTGCCACTTTCCCCACAGTCCTGGGGGAAGGGGAAGCTGCAAAGCTGCTTCTGCCTGCTCTACCTGGACTGTGCAGAGGCTGGGCTCAGCAGCAGCAGTGACAGGCGGGGGGTTAGGAGGAGGGAGGGGAAGTGGGTTTCCCCACCCCATGCCTGCTCTCAGGGGACCAGACAGAGTAGGGAAACCCACCCACTGGCCATCTCTACTGCTGCCATTACCCCCTGCTGAGTCCCATCCCCACACAGTGTGGCTGGAGCAGGCAGGAGTGGATTTGGGCTTCCCATGTCCCCTAGGGCAGCAGGGAAAACAGGCAGATGGGGAAGAGGAGGGGGCATGCCTTTGAGAACAGAGGGAAGCCCTTATGTACTTTGGGGACTTGAAAAAACTCCCCAGAGGCTCCCATGGCTCAGTCCAGTCCAAAAGGGTGGCAGCCTTGCCACTGCAACCCCCCTGGGGACACTCCTGTGAGCATATGCAACTGCTGGACACTAAAAGTAACCACAGCAAGCCACGGTGATGCAAACACTGCCCCAGTAATCACCATAGTCAAAGGAATCTGATTTCAGGCACTCTACAAGCAGAATCCACACGCACATGACCTTAAAGGAAAAGGCATCAAGAGGCAAGTGCCAACCAAACACCCCAGTATGGTAACCACCAAAGTGAAGATTATGTAACCAGTCACCGTGACATAAACCTCATGTCAGGGAAACCGACTGCATCCATGTGTTCAACAGGGAACATTAGTCTCTTTAGAAAGACACAAGAACCCTGTCCTATCCAAAGAATACCCATGAGCACATAATTAAACCACTTGATATATTATGCAACACAAGTGAAGAAACAGCACACTTTTACTCAAACATGTATGACCAGAATAATAGTGACAGTGATGACCACTATTCTGTAAGCTCTTGAAACAGTTTGGCAAATACTTAGGAGAATAAAACTGTGATTTTCAGAAGGGAGTAATGATTTAGAGTGCCTCGGATTTTGAATGCCCAAGTTGAAGGTCAATTTTGAGTATTTCAGTTTTTGGTTTTCCAAATTCCATTTTGAAAACCTTGGCCCAAATTTGTTGAGCCTAACACCTAACTTAGACTGAACGCACTCAAATGTACACTGTACATCAAAAGCAGTACCAAAGTGCAACCCAGATTCATTGTAGAGAATACATTTGTAACTCTATCCTCAGCTTAGATATGCCTAACCTAACACCTATTAAGAAAGAGATAGAAAAGTCTAATTTTTCTTACTGCACTGGGATCTACTGGGAAATGCAGCCCTTATCCATGAACAAGAGAATCGCTCGAGATGGGATGTTTCTTGTAATTCAGATTGACTAGTCATAAAAATATGCCAGACAAATGCAAGTAGAATCCTCAGACTGCACCCCTACTATCCCTGGAGATAGTTTTGTAATATAGTGTCTCCAAACCAGAGAAGGAACAAACTGTGCAGAGAGCAGAAGCCCTGCTGTGCATACAACTAATTCCCCACCAGCTGGGTCACAGAATTTCTGAGGTCACAATGGCAAAGCAGGACTGCTAATCTAGGACAAGAATGCATCTGCATCCTGATTGGTAGAGAATGGTGACATCATCATCAAGATATCCATTTTAGCTGACTACAAGTCTCACGTGGGTTGAACCTTTCGTCGAGATTGCTGTGGGTTGGGCCTTTGCTTCTTGCATTCTGTACAAAAATCACATTCTGTAAATCAAAGGACTTCTAAGATCTCTGTAAATTAGGAATGTAACTGGATATTTTTCTTTCCAAAATTGAGTCATTTGATACCATCTGTTACAATTGTACAGTATACTGGTATTATTGTACCTTTGTCTGTTGAATTGCTGAAGCTTACTTTTTAATGTAGGGGCTTAACAAAATTTCAGTTTATTTCAAGGGTTGCGAACCTTGTCAGTTTATTTCAATCAGTTTTTGCCAGGAGTAAAAACTGGTTAACCACCTGGTGAGAAGTTCCAGGTATCCCTTAGGGACACGTTGGCATTTCACCACAATAATTAGCAACAGGTAATGAAATCTGCAACAGTGGGAGGTGTTGGGTCATAACAACATTAGCCAGGTGTGATGTGGCTGTAAGACCAGTAACAGGGGCTTGAGGGGATGAAAGAATGGTCAACATATGTAGAAGGTTTTTATCTGGAGAGACCAATAGGAAGATTATGAAAGCAGGAGAGTGAGGTAAAGAGATCAGTAGGAGATGGCTATAAAAATGGAAAGAGGAGACACTTCCTATCTGGTAGAATGGAACTATAAAAGGGGAATCTCTTGCTATAGCAAAAGGAAGCCCCATTTGTGATTCTGCATTTCAGGCTATGCTAACAAAGGGAAAGAATTTCTCATAAATAGAAAGAGCTCGTCTTCCTAAGGCAGGGGCGGACAATTATTTCGAGTGGAACACCGCTTACCGAATTTAGGTAAGCTGTCGAGGACCACATTGTTAGCCCCACCCTTTGACAGGTGCCCTGCCCTGTGATCAGAAGTCCTGCCTCCTAACCCCTGACCTTTGCCACCAGAAGTCCCTCCCCTTGGCCCCAGAAATACTCTTTTCAGCTAGGGGGTTTGCCATCTCAGGACCAGAAAAATACCAAATTATATTCTAAAAATTGAACATCTACAACATGCATTAATTTGATTTCAAAAAATATTTTTGTCCTGATTTACTTGCATTTGTGTAGTGTACATAGAGGGGATTGCACAATAGCTTAAAATGAAGTCTTACTCTTATATTGTGGGGGGCACAGGGTGGTGGGTAGACTTACAGGGGGCTGTTGGTGTGTGGGTATGTGAGGTGTAGGTGCGGGAGCATGTGGGTGTGTGCATGGATATGTGGGGTATGGGTGGGTATGGGGTTTGTGGGGGCACGTGTATGGCAGCGTGAGGGGGGGGATGCATGTGTATGGTGGGGTGTGAATGCAGGACTCACCCTATGAACACACACACACACACAGGGTGGTGGGTAGACTTACAGGGGGCTGTTGGTGTGTGGGTATGTGAGGTGTAGGTGCGGGAGCATGTGGGTGTGTGCATGGATATGTGGGGTATGGGTGGGTATGGGGTTTGTGGGGGCACGTGTATGGCAGCGTGAGGGGGGGGATGCATGTGTATGGTGGGGTGTGAATGCAGGACTCACCCTATGAACACACACACACACACACCCCTCCTGCTCCTGGCCTTGGGGTAGCGGTATGGGGCCATGCTCCCACAGTTCAGTGACAGCTGGGGGCCATATGGTACTGGAGCACCCGATGGGCAGGCAAGGAAGCAGTGAAAGCTGCAGCAGATAGAGGTTTCCAGCTGGGGGAGGGCAGGGGCTGGGAGTGGGGCAGGGCTGACCTTGCTACTCAGTCCTGTCAGCTTCCCCTGAGTCCTACTACCTCTGGCTCCTGTCATCTTTTGCAGGCAGCCAGAAGCAGATAAATACACATTTTCTAAATATTTTAGGGGCCCCATGGGCTGGATAGAATGGCCTGGTGGGCTGGATCTGGTGTGCAGGCCATATTTTGCCTGCCCCTGATCTAAGGGTTCAAACAAAAGGGAGGGGAAGAACTCAAGTTTTGCTATAGCTTAGAACAGTTTTACATAGGGAGAAGTATGCTTCTGTTTAAGCTCACCTCCATTCAAAACATGCAAAAGCAGGACCCCATTTTCCACCATTTATTTATCTGCCTTCTTCACTTCTTAAAAGATTACTCTAAGCATTTTGTTTTCACAACACTTAGCAGCTGATATGAGAGGCAGGGACAGAAGCAATAATTGAGTCAGCAGCAGATGCACAGGTCAAACATCAAAGGGTACTACATAATGGTTTCCAATCCAGTGCACAGCTCTCCCACAAGCTAGAGAAAATGGCAAACAGCCTCACTTTTTCCCATCTGATCTCTTCTTGCTTTCCATCCCTGTGCTTCCTCAAAGGAAATCCATTCACTCCTTGTCTCCACTCTTACACAGCTGTAAGGTCGCCCCATTTACTCAGGTGGCTGTCTTGTTCTTTCCACTTATCTGTTATTCATTATAGAAACCCTGTGCTTTCATCTAAATATTTAGAAGAAATGTAGAGATGCCTGTGGGCATGAAGTTTTGTGCTAGCAAGGGCTGCTTCCAACAGAAATCCTCCAAAAGAAGCCCTCATCCATATGTACGTTTTACCTGTGTGTGCATGTGTGTATATAGAAAATAAATAAAAATTTGGGTGAGGATCTAAACATGTATATAGGTTACATTTCCTTATTTAGAAGTTGCATGGCTTTATTTTTTTTAAACCACACACGCACCATGCCATTTCTACATAAGAAAGCTACACGTACACCCCCCCACCCACATACCCCATGGCTTCTTGGACAACTGATATAACAGTTTACAAGACTGCACAATTTTTTGGCCCCCCCCCCCCAAAAAAAAAAATCTAATGAAGAGAGAGACAGCCACTAAAAGAAAAAGAAAAACTTATTTTAAAAAAATCCTGCTTCTCTCTCATTCCCAGAACCAGGCTCATGTAATGAAATGCTGAATAGTTTAAGCTATATTTTAACAATTAATAAGTCATAAGCACTGATTAAGGTTTAAGAGTGCTTCAGTTACTCAATACACTTGGACCACTGATGCTTTTATGAGAATCCTAGGTGTGGTGAGCTACAATAAAGAACAAAAAAATCCCTGCCTTCCTGTATTGAGATCTTTACAAAACTGGAAAAGTTCTTTATTCACGTTTTTTCACATCAACTCTGA